GCTGTGACAAACTGTTTCGTCGGAGTTTCACCGACTCATCAGGAGGCTGAACCCTCAACTGTCTGTAGAATCCCCTCACTGATTACACTGTAAGTGATAATCCACCTTAACCAAAATCAAAGTAGACTATCACTCACCCACAAGGCGGCGGCGAAGGCGAAGGCGGCGAAGGCGAAGAAGGCGGCGAAGGCGAAGGCGAAGAAGGCGGCGAAGGCGAAGGCGAAGAAGGCGGCGAAGGCGAAGGCGAAGAAGGCGGCGAAGGCGAAGGCGAAGGCGAAGAAGGCGGCGAAGGCGAAGGCGAAGGCGAAGAAGGCGGCGAAGGCGGCGGCGAAGAAGGTGGCGAAAGAAGAAGGCGGCGAAGGAAAAGAAGAAGAAGAAGAAGAAGAAGAAGAAGAAGAAGGCGAAGGCGAAGGCGGTGAAGGCGAAGGCGGCGAAGGCTGCGAAGGCGAAGGCGAAGGCGGCGAAGGCGGCGAAGGCAAAGCGAAGAAGAAGGCGGCGAAGGCGAAGGCGGCGAAGGCAAAGGCGGCGAAGAAGGCGGCGAAGGCAAAGGCGGCGAAGAAGGCGGCGAAGGCGAAGGCGGCGAAGAAGGCGGCGAAGGCGCCTTCTTCTTCTTCGCCTTCGCCTTCTTCGCCTTCGCCTTCGCCGCCTTCGCCTTCGCCGCCTTCGCCTGCGCCTTCTTCGCCTGCGCCTTCTTCGCCTTCTTCGCCTTCTTCGCCTTCGCCTTCGCCTTCGCTTTCTTCGCCTTCTTCTTCTTCGCCTTCTTCTTCTTCGCCTTCTTCGCCTTCCTCTTCTTCGCCTTCGCCTTCTTCACCTTCGCCTTCGCCTTCGCCGCACTTGCCTTCTTCGCCTTCTTCTTCTTCGCCTTTTTTGCCTTCGCCTTCTTCGCCTTCGCCTTCTTCGCCTTCTTCGCCTTCGCCTTTGCCTTCTTCTTCTTCGCCTTCTTCTTCTTCGCCTTCGCCTTCGCCTTCGCCTTCGCCTTCTTCGCCTTCTTCTTCGCCGCCTTCTTCGCCGCCTTCTTCGCCGCCTTCTTCGCCGCCTTCTTCGCCGCCTTCTTTGCCGCCTTCGCCGCCGCCTTCGCCGCCTTCGCCTTCCTGAAATGTTCCAACTCTGGAGAGCCTGGCTACTTCTTCTTCTCCGCCGCCTTCTTCTTCGTTCCTGAAATGTTCCAACTCTGGAGAGCCTGGCTACTTCTTCTTCGCCTTCTTCTTCTCCGCCGCCTTCTTCTTC